TCGATTTACTTGTTTAATTACTTTTAATTCGTGTTAATTATAGTTAATTAGAAGCTGATGAAATTCGTTGTATTTCTAATCGTTTCGTTTATTTTTAAATAGCATTTTATTTATTGTATTGCTGAATTTCTTGTTATGTTATCACATGATACACTTCATTCAAAACAAGTTATTAAAATACAAGATTTAATAAAACATTATGATTCATTATTAGCAAGTGGACATGAACCTGAAACACATAGTAGGAAGCAACAAAAAAACATTTTCGAGAAAAAGAAATTATCGTTAAAATTCTTTATTTAGCTTTGGCAGCATTAGAACCAGTTTTATATGATTTTTTCTTGTTCGAGTTATGCGAATAATTAAAATTCCTAAAAAGTTTTATTAAGTGAGAGTGAACAAAAGGTGTCCCTCTATAAGGTCTCAAATATCTTAGAAACTCGAGAAGTTGTGAGTGTGGGTGTGTATATGTAATTTTTCTCCTCGATTGAACCTACACCAACACTTCAACGAATCGATGATCTGAAAATAATCATCTTGTTGTTATGTATTTGAGTTTGAAGGAAAACTAGGCGTCTTAATTATTATAAATAAAAGTATCTTTTCATGTCATGTGTATGTACTGAAAAAATAATAATAGAATTTATATTGTTATAGGCTTTACGATTGTTCACAGTTATTGTTAATAGTGTTCAAATTGAAGATGATAAATGGGAACGTCTTTCACGACAAATTGTCGATTTACTTCTTGCTCATTTACAATCTCAGGTTATTTTTTTTGTTCAAATAGGATCAATCACTTTTTGATATTTATTCCACAGAATTAACACTATTTGATGTTATCTCATCAGTTGCATTACGATCAATTGATCCATTTGTTGTTGCTTTTCGAGCATTAGCAAATAGAAATGTCCGTTGTTTTTATTTATAAAATTTTCCTGTAGTTCAAAACTTTTTTTAGAATGTCAATTGTCAATCTACAAATCGATAGTTAATCAATATAAATATAATACTTCGATGTCTTGTACAAAATTTAACTGAAGATGCTATATTAACACGATAGAATGATGTTTTATTATCAGTTGATGGAACACGAGATGAAACTTTTAGTGGGTTAGTATTCGAAATGATTTTATTAATAATTTAAAAACTATTATTCTCGTTTTTGTTTTCAGAGCTCTTCTTCGAATTTTACATGACGTAATATTACGAATTTTAACTAATACTTGACAATTATGTGGTCAAATCAATATGACATTAGTTTCTCTTGTATCCGATTATCTTTATGTACATATCACCCATTAATTTGAAGATAAAACTTTCCTGCAATTCATTAATTACTAATGAGCTAGCGAAATACATTTGACTTTAAAATTCCTATGCTTATATACGATCTATAATTTTATTTTGGCTAAACAATTTCGAACAATTGTAAATGATTTTCATCAATTATGAATTCATGATGAAGCTGTACATCGTCTTGATATATTTTCATATTTAACTGTTTTAAATGAATGTTTTAAATTATTATGATCATCATTTTATATCTCATTATTATTACAATGGACACATTCTGAATATACTTGATTATACACAAGAAGCATGGTGATCACCAATATTGACACCATCATCAAGAATACATTTATCTATCAGTGGTCAATTACAATCTTATTGTGATTTAATATATCATCATGAATTATATGTTGAACATTTTACATCAATAACAACACATTATCAATTATTATTATTATTATTATTTTTTATTTTATCTTATACATCATACATCAGTTGCAAGTCATTTATTTTTTTTGTGAAAGAATACATTTATATGAAAGTGGTCTTACATTAGTTTTATTAATTGAACAATTTCTTCCATTACCATTAAATAAACAATTATGACCTAAATATATACCATAAATTTTATAAATATTATCAATAACAACATCAATTGATATTATTACAGAAGATTTTAATAATCTTAATTATCCTACGGATATAACAAGAAAAATTTATGAACAAATGCTTAAAAATGTAACTTATAAAAGCTGATTACCATTTATGATGTCACCGATATATTTTAGTTTAATTTATCGAAATAGATAAATATATATGTATAATAAAAATTTTAATCCAATTAAAAGAAATGTTTTTGTTTTTACTTTGACATTGTTTATGTGCTAGTAATAGATGAGACTTTTGAATAATTCAAAATTTCGAAAAATATTTTGAAATAGAAAATATGCAGAATTTCAGATAATACAAATCGTAAAGGAAAGCATTTAAGCTATATAAGTACAATGACCGAATAATTTCTCTCGAATCTTATTGATCAAATTCTCAGTCGTGTTATTTGTACTGTTACAATTAAAGAAAATGACGTCTTTCTAATATTATATTTCGTAAGATGTTTTCGATTGTGTTATTTATTTGCAACCGAAAATAATATTTCGAAATAAATTGCATTCGAGAATTTCGATAAACTTTCTATAAGTTTGAACTCTTGAACTCCGAAAACCTATTGGCTTTTTTCCATAGCATAAAATTTTTAGGATGATTTTTATAGTAAATGAAAATTGATTTGAGAAAATAAAAAACAATATAAATCTGTTCCTTTTTTGTTTTCCTAGGATTTTGTATAGTTATATCAAATGAAACAAATTAAAATGACATTGAAACAACACTTAATATAATTTATGTAAAAAGTCTTTTATCATGCTCTAATAATCAACCATATTCAATTGCATTAATAGATTCTACATCAATGTATTTTGATAAAATACAAAATTATGTTGAATTAACATGTCAATTTTCAACAGGTGATATACATGATTTATTATGTTTGTATCAGAAATAATTTATATAAATATATATCATATATTTATTGACATGATTTACGTTGCATAGCTATATTATTATTTTTGTTTACCAATATTTAATTCATGTAAACATATATCAAGACAATTTTGAAGTTGGTTGATTATCAAGAATACAATTTCAAGAAATATAGACTTCATTTTTAGCTTCAATTAATCCACCATAAATCAATCTAATGATGAAAATAAACAAACAACAAATAATTTTTAAAAAAAAAGAAGAAACTTTAGAAATAAATGCAACACAATAGTAACAAGATTGAAAAAAAAACTAGATTTTATCTGTTCTTTTTTTTACCGGTGGTCAACAAATGCAAACACGTTCAACATTAGATACAAGTTCAAAGAATTTATTTACAAATATTGAACGGTTAGGTATACGTGATTTATTATCCTATGAACAACTTTCATATGATACTATATTAACATCAATTCAAAGTAATAATACATTACCATTATCAGTTTTTGTTAATATTGAATATTCAACATAAGTGTATACAGAACTCTAAGTTTAAGAGAAAGATAAATTCATTGCTAAATTATTAATTTCATCAAACAAAAAATCTAGTGTTTCTCTGGCTTTGATTTGGCTTATATCAATAATTTCAAATATTTTCTATCAATCAAAAAATTAGAGTATGAACATTTTCTTCGCTGGTATCCACTTTTAAAATATATATATAATTTAGGGTTTATTTGATCGCTTATTTTTTCATCATGGTTTTGATTTAACATCATCTTTACAAATTCTAATTGAAATATATATAATATGAATTAATAAGTTCATTTATATATGTATCTGATTTATTTACATCATCACAACATTTATCAAATTTATATGATTTATGTGATGAATATTTTCGTATATGGTTTAATGAATAAGTTATAATTTATGTAAATCTAGTATATTACTTGAACAAAAAACAAAAGAATATAATGAATTATATATACATTTAATTGAACATAATTATAAATTAATAACTAAAACTCATGCATATGCATCATGTTTATTTTTACTTAAAAGTCATGAAGTTGATTTAAATTCATATGATATTTTATTATCATTAATTAAAGATGATAATTTAACACAAAAAATTATATCAATTAGTCTTGAAAGACTTTTAATAGTTGGTCAATATTCTAAAAATGATATATGGCGTTTATATGAACGTTCAATAATGATTATCTTGTTTCAATACTTACACGTATTTATACATTATTACAACTACCAAATGAAAATACAAATTCATTAAATAATGAACATGTTAATAAAGAATAAAGAATGATTGATAGTTCATCAATAATATTATAATATGAAGCTTTACTTTTATTACATCTTTTATCATTATTACTTGCACACATTAGTTTATCGGATCGTTTAATGAATAAAATGGTTTTAGAATTTGTTGCATCAACATAAAAATTATATTCTCAAATACTTGCATATACAGTTTTTGCTTTTTTTCGTGCTTTAATTAATGCACGTTATTCAGCTAAAGTTAATGAATGGACTTTATTATCGATGACAAATATTACACAAAGAAAATCAATAGGTATGGCTATATAGGGGTTAACTTGTCGTATGTTCAGTGCACATAGAATTGCTGATGCATTGTAAGTAGTCATTTAAATCATTTATCCTTGCTAATTTTTTTTTCTTAGTTCTTTATATTAATCTTTAAAGAAAAAAAAATTTGTATTAAAATTTCATACTGATGATTTAATAGTGAAGTCGTATTTGAACTGTTGGATGAGCTATTTTTTTTCATCTATGGTAAAATATTCTTCCTAGTTTTCTTTTTAAAAATTATCAAGACTTACACGTACGATTAAAATTTATTTGGAAAAGATAAATAGTAAAGTATTAATGAAAAAAGAAAACTCTTTGTTGCAATCCGAAGGAATAACGATCAATACAAAATCAATAAATTTCGCCATGAAATGTCAAAATGAATTTTCATAGATAATATGGTATACATTTTACTTTTTAGGTTGTCATGGATGTTATCAAGTTTCAGTGCTCATTTTGAAGAATTAAACAATCGTTTATTGCTTATTGCTGGTCGAGAATATTATCTGCAGGTATTATAAAAGAGACAAAAGAAAAACTCCAAATATTAATTGTATGAAAAAAAAAATCTATTTTACTTATTTTAGTTAACGAGTATTGAACAACGGCGTCAATTTGAACAAGTATTAATAAATGAATCGAATCCAAAAAAAGTATATGCTGATTTACTTGCACACATTCAAAATACGATCTCATCATTGTCTTGGGTGTGAGTGTAGATGTTGTTTGGATGTGTTGATGGATCGATACTCTCTCTCATCCATACTCACACCCTCAATAAAGACTAAAAATATCGGTTCATAAAATGAAAACATATCAACAAGATCCACGAAAACCATCAGTCTCATTTATTTTGTGCATTTGTGCTCTAATTTCGGTTTGACTTGTTGATTTGTATTTCATATTGTATGTTTTATTATGATTTCAACTATTGATTTAACTAGTAAATAAGTCGGTTAAAATATTCACAAACATATTTCAGCCATTAAAGTTTCAAGAAAGTCTTTAAAATGTTTTAGAATAGTCTAAATCTGGTTGATGATGTCATTCAGTGCCTTTTCTGTTGCCATTTTTTCTCCTTTTACTAGGAAAACCATGCTCATTGGTTTCTAATATTTAAATCATGTCGCTGAAGTCTAAGAGGGAAATGCACAAATCTGAATTAAAATTTGCATTTATAACCAGTACTCTTTGAATCGTTTTGATTTAGTATATTATATGTAAAAGCATCTACCATAATTCATCCTATTGAACTTGCTCTTTTTGAAAACCCGTTAATAATGATAAATTTGAAAATTCTCGAACTACAATCGTTTCTTCTTATTCAAATAACAATTCTTTTTTCTTGATTTATTATTCCTACTTCTTATTATTTTGTTATCAATACAAAAAAAATTTTAATAATAAAGAAAAAAAAATTAAATATTTTAATGTAAAAAGCAATTCATCATTATTCGTTCATCTCACCTTCATATATTAGAAAATATGAACATCAGTGTTTTCTTGTAAGATGACAATCCGATTATCGTTGGGCAGTATTTAACAGTAACTATCCGAAACGGAATCGAACCGTCTTCTACGAGTTCGAGTTCAGTTCGATGCCTGACAGACATGGCATTGTTCTATAAAGTTATTTTAGATTTACATTTCTGAGAATTTATTTATGAAAATTATAAACTTTGGTAAGTTCAACCTCAACAACACAATCATCAAAATACATGACTTCAGAAAAAATAGATCATTAATAACGAAAATCCGATCATCACTATAGAATATTCTGTAAGAAAATGGTCACACCATATTCCCGTTACATTCTAAAGATACTAAAAGACTTGTACACACATCCAGATTAAACAAGCAGACAGTAAGATCTCACAAGAATTCTACAGAGCGTTTTAATGTAAAATGTGTTAGGTCACCATTCTAGTATGATTCCAGCTGATCTTACAAGATAAAATACTTGAAAGATATTTATATTTACTTATTCATTTTTCCAAAATGACTAATATCTGTTTATGGTAGATGTCGATGTCCCAATGAATAGCATGATGCCGAATTCTGTTCTGTTTTCATTACTGAGAATAGAAGAGACGATTAGCAGTTTATGAACGAGCTGATGACATGAAAGATGGTCGTATTCTTCAAAACATTTTTTCTCATAAGCTACTTTCGTCATTTAAATTTTGTGTTCTAACTTACGTAACTTCGCTTCAAATATTTTTTTTGTCGTTGAAACAGTAAACTTTGCACACATGTGACGAAATAAAATAAAGAAACTTTTTTTCGTAAAATTTAATTTGAATAGAGATATATGCAATAAAGTGTGAGTTTCCGGTTCATCTACAAATTCATACACTCTATTATCTATGAATCATGGTTTAGATAGAAAAAATCTAAAATAAATATTGTTTTCGAACTTTTGTTTTCTGTTCCAACTGATTCTAGCCATTCTACATCCGATCAGAACTGCGTTTAAGTAAGTCAAATGATTGAATTTATAGTCGGACTTTAATTCTCACCAAGTAACATAAGTTATGGTTGTAATCTTCATCTTTTTTCCCTAGAGAAATGTTTCTTTTTTCGACTTTCGGATTATTATCAATTTAGCTTAATTTTTGTTTCAATAAGGAAGTCGTTGCCAATTCGTCTAGACTAAGAAAATATTTCCCCATAGTTACAGTTAATTGTCTCCCTCTTTTGAATAGATCAATCAATCTCATCTGCATTTTTCAAGCTAACTTTGTCTTATTGAAATATAAGGTTAGTCGATTTCCGTCAAAATGCCTTTCTCCAATATGTCATTCCCTGAAGTCACATTTTCGCAGACATTCGCCATCGAC